GCCGCCGCGACCGTTAACGGCCAGCGGCCCCCTCGTTCCTCCGTAAAGCCGGAGAGCTCCTGCCTTCCGCTGCCCTGCGGAACGGGCAGGAAGTCCAGGAGGGAGACGACCTGCGGCGCCCCTAGCAATGGCCTCCGATCAGCCAGTAAGTACAAACGTAGGACACGCACAGCGGCCACCAACCTCCTCGGGGCCTCTGCCAGCTCCCCTCCCCGCGCCCGGGACTAGGCACGGGGTGGGAGGGGAAAGAGGAGCTGCTTCTCCTTTGAAGAGACTCCATAACCAGGGGAGGTTGGAGATTGAACCTTTTCTTGCAGCTCCTTCCATGGAAAACCTTCTCTGCTACCTCTGGTTAAAAGTTGGGAACACTGCACAAGAGAATTATCATCATCTCTGACACGGTTAATAAATTTATTACTGTAGCTTTACTGATTCCCAGTCTGAGGAAAAAATAGTCGAATTGATCAATATTTTTATTCCCTCTACAGCAGAGACTAGTGATTTGAGACAACAGTTTAGAAGTTTCTGTGCTTGACCTTATTTTGGCTTGCACCTCTGCACTGCAGGGCATCCTTGAGAGAGAAAGCACCAGTAGATGGTGGGAATAGGCAGAACATGCACTTGGTACATTAGAAAAAGTGCTGGCTCTAGAGGAACGCCTCTAGCTAAACAAGAGGCATCCTGCTCTTCAATTAAAGCATTCAGCACAAGTGATTAGAGATGCAGTGTTTGTGGCTCCCTTGTCCCTGGTGGTACCCTCAGCACCTTGGACAACAGGCTTTTAAACAGGACAACTAGATCTGTGGAGCTAAGTGTTTCCTTGGTAAAGGAAGAGCAAGTGCTCCCTGAAGTGCTTGTTTCAGTCCTGACTCAGCAGAGATGACCAAGAAATCTAGTGTTTCCCTTTCCAAAAGGGATGGGTGGGAACCATCCATTTGGAGCCCAATGCTCTTATTCACTGCTGTGATTTATATCTTCAGGCTGCACAATACTTGCCTAGTGACAGCAGCTCTGCCAGGCACTGAGTGCAGCTGTGATAGCACGTGGGTGGCATCCAGCTGCGCTCCGGGTCATATAATTCACACTGTTTCCACTTGGGTATCCCCCTCTCCAATTCCTGGGGGAGAGCTGGTGATCAGAGGAGGGAAACAGATGATGCTGCAGCAAAGGAAGTGCACGAAGGCTGGAGAATAGCTCCTGGCTTCACTCCTGTAACAGATTCCTGGCCACAATCATCCGCATCACCTCGTTGGTACCTGCAGCAAGATGAGGGTGCAAAAGAAATACAGTTAGAAATGGTCCAATTCTGCCCCCAGTGAAGACAAAGAAAATTCTGCAGTCTACAGCACAGAAAAGTTTTTCTCAGAGGGGAAAAACTGAGGTCGCATTTTGTAGGTGTTGGGACAAAATATAACTGCCAAGTGCCAACACAGTCCTCAGCAAAGGCTTCGGAGCTGGTGCTCCTTTTTCTGTTCACAGACAGAACTTGTGACCTGCCAACACCTGTGTTCTCTGCTTTACTGTTTACCATGTAACATCACACAGAAAGAAAGACTGCAGTCCTGCCCAGTACAGGCAAAATTATCACAAGAAAGGAATTGCTGGGGAGTGTCAGCACATGTCTGTAGGGCTAATGGAATGAAATTAGACAAGAGGCTGCCAACACAAAAGCTAGAGATCTTCCCCTGCTGGGAGACTCTTACCATACACCCTAACTTCTCCAAAGACTTGGTGGAGAAAATGTACTGAGTGCTCTTGCCCAGGTGGTTCACACACCTGATACCACCAGGAAACCTCATGCTCGGAGCAGACCTGGATTCTGAAACCCTAGATTCAGAGAGTGTTATGGGAAGGGCTCTCTGGCAGACCTGTTCTTCCCCTGGTACACAGCCAAATCACTGTTAGTGAGAGCTTCTTTTACCTTCCAGGATCTGATGGACTCGGATGTCTCTCACAAACTGCTGCACGGCATAATCCTTCAGGTAGCCGTAGCCTCCGTGCATCTGTAGAGCCTGGTTACAGATCTAAGGAGAAGATATCATCGCTGGTGAGGAGACTTGCTCAGGGCTGAGGATAAGTCAGTGACAGGAGCTCGGTAAGACCCCAGGAGCTGGGGCTCACTTTTCTTCTCTTAATAAGAGGCTGCTGTGACAGCAAGGAGCTCTCAGCACCAGCCCATGCTGCTCTCAGTGCTACCGTGTTACTTAAGTGCCGTTCGAATTTATTGATGCATTTATGGGAACACTATAGGATAGAAATACCCAGGGAATGCTTTACTTAACCAAGGCAGGTTTTGCTGCATTTCCAGGGAGCCACTCATGCAAAATTCAAAATGCCAGTTCACCATCTAGCGGTCAGGCAGGGAAAATCTGCCTAGGCTCTGATTTCTAGTCATACATGACTCCATGCCTCGAGATCTATCAGCTTATGATAGAAAATATAATATAATTCCACAAGGAAGTGGTCTAGGAAAGATGAGACCTAAAGAGTGGAGAAACTAAGGTTGTGGCCTCCACAGGATGCAGATTTCTGTCCTGTAAAATATCTTAGTCCTGAAATGAGGTTTCTGGCTCACTCAACATGCTCAGGCCTGGGTCCTGCAGAGTCAAAGTTATTTCTAACAACCCGGGCCCTAAGAGGGGTCTCTGGGCTTTTGGTCACCACGCCGAGCAAGGTCAGAGGAACCTACCGCAAAGCACTCGTCCGTAGCGAAGAGCTTGGCCATGGAGCACAGCACAGGCGCGTCCTCCCGTCCCTCCTGCAGCGCACGCGCTGCGTTGCGCACCATGAGCCGTGCTGCCACCAGGCGCGTGGCCATCTCCGCCAGCTTGAACTGCAGGTACTGCAGCACGCGGAGGAGACACGGGTCAGCATCTTCAGGGGGCCTCTCCAGGGAGGCCACGGCCAGGAAGAACACGGTTCTCCCTGCTAGGGAATTTACCTGATTGTTGGCCAAGGGTTCTCCAAACTGTTTGCGGACACCGAGATGTTCCTGGGTCAGAAGAACAGAGGCATGCGCAGCTCCTAATGAACAAGAAGCTGGTGGGAGAAGACAAGGGCACAGAGTGAATGTTAAGTTAAAGCAGACTGACAGCAAAATGATCCTGGCTCTCCTCTCCTGGCTCAGCACTTCTTTCTTACCGATGTTTATCCTGCCTCCATTCAGCCCCTTCATGGCAATGTTGAACCCCCGTCCTTCAGCTCCCAGCAAGTTGCTGACAGGAACAGCGCAGTCTTCAAAGATCACAGCCCGCGTTGGCTGGGAATTCCAGCCCACCTGAGGAAAAGCAGAGTGCCACCCAAACTGCTCGGGGCACAGCCAGCCCCCTGGCACACTCAGCCTACTTTAAAGCCCTTTTTTTTGCTGCCAGGCTGTCCCAGAGCTCCGCTGGGCCTGTGTTCTGTGTGCTTTGTCTCCGTGTGCACGTAGTTATAGAAGCGGCACAGAGCCAGAGAATCTTGATATTCCCAAGATTAAAATCTTCCAGTTACCTCAGGGCAGGTGGTGTACAAACTTCCCCAAGCCTAATGAGGCCTCGGCTAGGGAATGAGGAACCAAGGCCAGGCTGCGACTCTGGTCCCACCAAATATTGCCCTCGTGCTTTGCACGGCGCGGCCGCTCTCCGGCCTGCCTCCCCCTCGGGAACACAGGACATAAAGAACAAGCTCCTCACCTTCTTCTCCTTCTTGCCGAAGCTGAGCCCCGCGTACCCTGGCGCGGAGCTCCAGCAGCAGCTGGGGCACGAGGGCTGTGCCAGGTGCTGCCAGGAGAAACGCCGGCAATAGCAGAAGCCAGTTCTGTAAAGCACAGGGTTGGCTGCAGCTCAGGGAGAGGTGCGGAGAGGTGCATGCCCAGCTGCCAGGAGATAGTCAGGGACCCGAGAGGACTAGGGTGGGATGGCTGCTCTGCAGAGCACCGCATGTCTTGACAGCAACAGAGGGAGGAGGAGACAGTATGGGCTTCCTAGAAAGGGAAAGGCCTGTGAGATCCAGGCCCCCTTAGAGCGAGCAAAGAGGTACCTTAGAGCCATTCAGGATGTAGGTGTCCCCTTTCCTCTTGGCTGTGGTCAGCAGGGAAGCGGCATCGCTTCCGCTTCCTGTTCGGGAGGTAAAAAGCAGCCAGTGAAGCAGCATGTCTCTAAAACCTGCCAATTCTCCTGTGAGTCATACTCTAGGACACAGAGGTTGGTACCTCAGGCATTACAGCAACCATCACATGCCCTTTCCAGATTTCCCAAATGAATAACAGATTAGAATCATCACCACTGACTCCCACAAATATTCATGTCCATGCTGCAAGTGAGGGAAAAGAAAAGACATTTGGGACTTGGGATACTCACCTGGCTCAGTCAGGCAGTAAGAAGCAAGTTTCTCCATGCTACAGAGTGGCGGGCAGAACTTGTGTCTCTGTTCCTCGTTCCCAAAGGTGTCAATCATCCAAACACACATGCTGGAGCAAGAGAGAAGGAGCAGCATTGGAGCACGTGCATATGAAAACAGCCCTAGGAGCAAGGTGGGTCACACAAGAGCATCCCCAGCTGAACAGAACAAGAAAGCTCCAGGTCAAAAGCACCGAGACATCGAAGCTTATTGCTCCATCTCTGCTGCAGTTAAAGGACCTTCTGTCCTCCTTGCACAAACACACTGGAATGGAAGAAAATGAGTTGCCACAGAGGCTGGGAGGAAGGAGGGCTGCCACAGTCACCGTGCAAATGTGGTCCTTTCTGAACATGCGGGTATTACCAAGCAGGACGGGCCCTGGTCCCAGCTGGAGCCTGTGGGCTCTGTCACAGCAAGGGATTTTTCCAAGCAGGTTACTATCTATAGCTCAAGTGGAAGAGCAGGGAACAGAATCCAGGACTTGATCCCCTCTTGCACACCACAGAGCTAAAATTACTTCCTGCTGGCATCTCAGGTTTGTAGCCTGTTTGTTTACTGCAGCCTGGGGATTCTTACGGTGACATGTCCCCTCGGGGTGCCAAGTGTAGATAACAAGCAGCCTCAGGAAGGGTGTCTCTAGCAGGATTTGGAGCCCACAGAACAACTGTGTGTTTCTATGAGGCTGGCGCCGTCCGCCCTCCGCAGGCACACTCACTTGTGGATGCTCAAATAGGCAGTGGTGCTGGTGCAGCCTGTTGACAGAGCCTCGAAGATTATGGAGGTATCAAGTCGTGACAAGCCGGAGCCACCGACATCCGGTTTCACATAGATGCCACCAAATCCCAGCTGGGCTGCCTTCCGCATTGCTTCCACAGGGAATATTTCCTAATGGAGCAAATGGAGACATCACAAGTGAATATTCAACTTCTGGTACGTCTAGGCCGCCAAGTGCAAGGCCAAACTCCTGCCAAGTTTAAGTTGGCCAGGTGGGTGAAGGCATGGGGAGCTCCCTAGCCAGATACCATTTTCAGGAGTAAATGCAAGTTTCCAGGTGCTTGTAGAGCCTAACTAGGAAAGCTCCATGGATATTTCTGATGGCTGCCTACCCCAGCTACCAGAGCATCTTCAGGGAAAGCCTCTGCAGAGAGAACTGCAGCAGTGAGGAGCCCCTGAGGAATGTCCCCAGGAGGCCTAAGGATGAGGGCTTCCCAAGGCAGCGAAGCCTCCCGAAGCTGCCATACCTTCTCATCCCACTCTGCCATATGCGGGGCCAGCTCCTTGGAAGCAAAATCAAAGGCAACTTTTTGGAATTCCTTCTGCTCCTCGGTCAGGCCAGCGGATGCTAGAAGAGCAGGAACAGATCAGATATAGTTTTAAAATCTGTATAATTCATCTCCTGAACTCCATCCAGCTGTTGCTCTTCTGCCCCGCGTACGGCTACATTTAAACATTGGAGCACTTAATCTGGTGAGATGAAGTGCTTGGGAACCCCTCAGGAGAGCACAGGCGGAGCCGCGGCGGCCCCCTGGGTAGCCGGGTCCCCGCTGGGCGCTCAGAAGGTGTCCCCAGCCGCAGGGCTAGTGCGAGGCCGGGCCAGGGCCCGCAGCCGCCC